CGTCGACAGCCGCCCAAATGCCATTTGGATGACCTCTTGCTGTTCCGTATGGTGACTTTGTACATCGTGGCAAAGCTTGGAAGGGATGCAAGGCTGGCGCAAGAGAAGTCCACGAACTTGCACACCAATATTCGCTTCCTGATGGAACAACCTGCGGCTCCTCAACGCATGCCTGAGGTTGCATCGTTTTGGAGGACTGAGGAGTGGCCCAAGGGCATGTTCCGTTTCGAAGGGATTGTGCAGTCTGTCAACGAGCGGCAGCCAAGGATCGTCCACACCGAGCTCAAGGAGTGGCGGCCCCATGCGTGCTGTCTCTGGATCTCACGGGACCGTTCGTGAATGGGGTCGACATCGATGGGGACCTCCAAAAAGTACTTGCTTGTTGGGGCATACACCTGGCCGGTGATGAACGAAGCACCATGGGACGAACTTGAGGAGATGGAAGTCCATCCGGATTGGCCAAGGATTGAGGAAGAAGAAGCCCTTCGAGATGTGGCCTACGAGGAACCTCAACAGCCGGAGGGCGATGGTGACGACTTCTCGTACAGGCCTACCTCGGAAGAAGGAGAGGTTCAAGATCTTCGAGAACCGGAGAGCGATGAAGAGATAGAAGCTCTGCTGGACGAAGGAGAACCAGGAGAAGAAGGTGAAGGTGCTGTGGTGGAGAATGACCGCAACCAAGAGGAAGATCAAGGGGATCAAGACCGAGTCCGAAAACGCCGGAGGAGCCGGAGGAGCGCCAGAAGGTGTACAAGATGGTCACTATGCCCTCTGCCTCCCCTTGGCATCGAAGAGCGCTTCGGAGGTGTTGGCTGGCGCTCAAGAGCTCTATGGGCTGTTGATGAAGCACGGCTACCCAGTTGCCAGGGTACACACTGATGCGGCCGAGAGTTCGACAATGAATCTCTCGGACGTTCAGCCCACCAGATGAGCACCAGAGCAATGGAAGGGCAGAGGCAATGATTGCTTCCACCAAGCAGCGAGTTAGACGTCTCCTACATGGTAGCAACATGCCGGCCAAACGGTGGCCTGCCGCGGCAAGACATGTCACCGAGCTCGAGCGAAGAAGAAGGGAGAACGTCCAAGAAAAGCTCCCTCGCTTTGGTCAGCTGATTACTGCAAGAAAAAGAGCATGGAAAAGGGGTGGACCATTTGAGGTGACGTCTGAGCACGTGACCTACCTGACACCTATGCCTGAGGTCTCGAAAGGGCATGCTACCTGATCAAAGATGTCAAGGAGCCTCCGGATGACGATCGCCCACTGGAGCTGGAAGAAGTTCATGCGCAGGAGGATCCAATTCGCCTACGGTGGAGGCTGCGAGATAAAACTCCGTTGGCATGCATCCAAGGGGCGGAGGACCTCCAACTAGAGGACGATCGCAGGAGGCAATTTACGAAGAGGAGAAGAACATGCTGTTTTCAGCACCTCGGGAATTGCCTTTGGCAAGGGGCTTGACGGCCCTACGACTGGATGGAGCAGGTGGCAGCAGTTGATCGCCTACTCGAAGATGAAGTCCTGCAAACCAGGATTGCGCCCAACGACGAGGTCTACCGTGACAAAGAGTTGTGGATTGAGGCCATCGTCAAGGAAATTCAGTCCCTCGAGGCCAAGAAGGCGATTTGACGCTTGACGCCCGCGGAAGTCGCCTACTACCAAAGGGAGCGTGGAGACAAGGTTGAGATTGTTCCTGGCAAGGCAATTCATGCGGCGCAGATGGACGACGAAAATGTCGACTAGTGGTTTGTGGGAACTACCTGAAGGGAGCAGGCCGAGGCGCAATGGATCGATCAGAAGCCAGCCCAGTTGTACGCTGGAGGAGCCGACACTACATGCTTGGGGACCTCATTGGCACTGGCAGCTTCGAGGGAGTGGCATGCAGCTAGCGTGGACATCAAGACAGCCTTTCTCAATGCCCCATTGCAAACCTTGCAGGAAAGCAGCAAGAAGAAGGCCATGGCCCTGGAAGACGCTCATGGGCGACATCAAGAAGATATACCGCCTCAAGGGCAGGAGGAGCAGGTAGAGGGACAGTCCGAGCAGGGCCCAGAACAACGCAAACGGCTGGCCCTTATGCTTCCACCCAAGCTGCTTATTCGCCTTGGATTGGCAAAAGAAGGGGAGGTGGCTGGTGGAGAGGCGCTCTAGGACTCCGGGAATCCCCAAAGTTGTGGGGTGACTATAGAGACATCGAGATCAGTCAGATGTCCTTCACTGTGGGCTATGCAGCGTACGAGTACCAACAAAGCTTCGCAGAGGAGAACTTGTGGCTGGTCCGAAAAGATGCTGAAGATGGGGCTCACGTCGAAGGCCTGGCACTGGTCTATGTGGACGATGTGATGCTCTTTGGCGCCAAGGAAGTGGTGGAGAAGGGACTTCAGTGCTTCCACAAAACTTGGGAGACATCAAAGCCCACTAGTGGTTGGTGAAGGAGAACCAGTCCGATATTGTGGCATGGAGTTGAGCCGAACTGACACTCTCGAGATTCGTTGTAGAGGATTTGAGAACGGAAGCTAGCGGCTCTACATCGACTTCGATGAGACAGTCATTGAGTACACCGCGCACGAACGGCCGAAGTTAGTGAAATGGAATAGCCATCTAGGCGCCAGGTTGGGGACAAGTGCAGCCATCTAGGCGCCAGGTTGGCTGTCTTACGGCTGCGTTGGAGCCATCTTGAGACCAACTTCGTCTGCCTTGGGGCCCATAATGGTGATACAACTTCGGCATTGCGGCGTTGCCAAAAGCCATCCAAAAATGCACCTCAAAACGCTCTCCCCAGTGGCCTTGCAGCTCAACCATAGCCACGCGCGCGCGAAAAGATAGGCGCCAGGTTGGCTGTCTTACGGCTGCGTTGGAACCATCTTGGGGCCAACTTCGTCTACCTTGGAGCCCATAATGGTGATACAACTTCCGCGTTGCCAAAAGCCATCCAAAAATACACCTCAAACCGCTCTCCCCAGGGGCCCTGCAGCTCAACCATAGCCACGCGCGCGCGAAAAAAAGCGCCAGGTTGGCTGGGTTACGGCTGCGTTGGAATCATCTTGTGGCTACCTTGGAGCCCATAATGGTGATACAACTTCGGCATTGCCAAAAGCCATCCAAAAATGCAGCTCAACCATACCCACGCGTGCGCGAAATAAAAGGCGCCAGGTTGGCTGGGTTACGGCTGCGTTGGAACCATCTTGGGGCCAACTTCGTCTACCTTGGAACCCATAATGGTAATACAACTTCGGCGTTGCCGAAAGCAATCCAAAAATACACCTCCAAAACGTTCTCCCCAGTGGCCCTGCAGGCCGATCAAGACACAAAAACTCCTCCAAAACGCTTTCCCCCGTGGCCCTGCAAGCACGACGTAACGAAAAATCATCCAAACATGTGCCCCCAAAACGCTCTCACCAGTGGCCCTGCAGCCCAACCATAGCCACGCGCGCGCGCGCGAAACCCCCCCAGCAAAGCTTTTTGCGTGGCAGCAGAGCTTAGAGAGCCCCATAGCACGCCCTGCGTGAGCTCTCTTCTAAGTACGTGTTTCTAAGGGTCCTTTCTTTCTTTTTGCCTTTCACGATAAGCAGGGGGCCAGCGGCCGACAAGCAAACGCTGGCTAACAAAGCTATGCTTGTTCGGTGGATGCACAGTCTGATCAACTGTGTGTGCCTGCGACCAACTTTTGCACAAGCTGTCACTCCAATTTCCTCGGTTTGATTCATGGTTTTTACATGCTACTTTCCCCCAAACCCTGGTTTCTGCAGCTGCGCCGCGCCGCTCGTTTTCGCCACCGCTGAGTTCTGTACGAGAAACAACTTTGTTCAAACACCTACAATTTCTTGGACCTTTCGCCTTGCCGTTCTTTCGCATTCCTTTCACCTGGGAACTGAGTTAACTGTTAATGTCAGAGCGTGAACCGCTCAGTCGAACCACTTGGGTGCGGGTGTGATCCCCGTCACTGGGGCGCTGAATTCATGCTGGAAATCGTGTAACGGATTTTCCCTTTCCACCACTCCTTGGATTCTCTTAACTGATCACTTTTCACTACTGGATTGACTGCCCAACAGCCGCCGGGCTTGTACGGACAAAAACATTTGATTGCGTAACTCTGTGTCTGAATTAGCCGCCGGGCTTTCACGGAGAATAAGCCCCGACGTGTTTCTACCCCAAACACCCCAACCCCTCCCACCCACTAATTAGGGTAACAGAGGGAAATGGTACTCGATACACTTGTGTGTCGGTGCCTTTCCCTTTGTTGTTCCTTTTCTAGTCTACTCTACCCGGGCGGTTTAAGACTAAAGTCCCGCTCCCTAACTATTGCACTTAATTCATTTCTGCTAAGTAATCAGTAACTCTAGAGTGCTAAGTATTCAGACACACACACATGCACACACACACACATGGACGCTGTCCTTCTTGCGCTTTTCGTCGTTTGTTGAGCTTTCTTTCAGGCTTTTTAGGTGTTTCTTGAGGCTCGTTTCCCTGCCCCAGTCAAGGGCTAAGTATTCACCTTTTCCGTCGCATGTGCGCCGAAAAACGGCCACGTGTGTGTGTGTGTGTGTCAAACCCTGTTTCTAAGGGTCCTTTCTTTCTTTTTGCCTATCACGATAAGCAGGGGGGCAGCGGCCGACAAGCAAACGCTGGCTAACAAAGCTATGCTTGTTCGGTGGATGCACAGTCTGATCAACTGTGTGTACCTGCGACCAACTTTTGCACAAGCTGTCACTCCACTTTCCTCGGTTTGATTCATGGTTTTTACATGCTACTTTCCCCCAAACCCTGGTTTCTGCAGCTGCGCCGCGCCGCTCGTTTTCGCCACCGCTGAGTTCTGCAGACACGAGAAACAACTTTGTTCAAACACCTACAATTTCTTGGACCTTTCGCCTTGCCGTTCTTTCGCCTTCCTTTCACTTGGGAACGGAGTTAACTGAAAACCAATGTCAGAGTGTGTGTGTGTTGCGTGGGGCATTCATTTTCACAGAAAGGGTAAAGGCGCCGGCTGCAAATGCTTGTGACTCAGGCTGGTGACAATGATGTCCACTTGCCTCAAGGCGTGGTAAGACTGACGCTGATGCATGTAGGTTTCCCCAGACGGTCGTGCTGTGGAGCATTCCCCAACTGAATTGGTAGTCTGAGTGATGTGCCAACCAAAGTAAGGGGTAATTAGGTTCCAGAATCAAACCAAGGTGCACCGAGCAGCGCCGTTCAGCGCTTTTCCATGAAGGCCAACAAATCACTGTCCATCCGGGGCCTGTGCGAGCCAAAGAAAAGAGTTGGGTTAGATGGAACCTTGCTTGAATGCTTGCGCGCGCGGCCCCGTCGCGCCGGTAGTAAAACAGCTCAATGCAACAAGTGCTGGACGCGTGCGTGCCCGGAGCCAAGTCGCTCGCGCGACGAAGTTGAGCAGGAGGTAGAGTGTGTGGGACAGCGCGCTGATGTCTGTTAGGTTCGTCTCTGCAGCTGTGGCAAGACTTTTGGCCCGTAAAAACAATACTGCCAGGCAGCAAAGGGAGCTGCAAACAGACAGCTCGCAGACAAGTGACTTCGGAAAGTGACAGAGTGAGCGCCTGCCGGACGGTGTCAACCAGGTTGCGCGCAACTTGTTGCAGCCCCACCATGACGCGCGTTCCGCATGTCCACAGGTCACTCTCAATTTGCTCGGGTTGTCTTCAAACGCAAGAAGAAAGAGCAAAGAAAGGGTTCAAGATTGCTATGTGTAGGGTTGGGGTATGATTGGTTTGCGCTTGGGATGTAGCAGCCGCTGCAGGCGCTGGCGTGGTCGTTCATTTTTTGCTTCGTGATTATGACGATTTGGGCTATGCTGATTGTGGAGATGATCAACCCGCTCGTGCAGGACAGAACACTTTATATATGTAACCTCTCCGATCTAGCATAGTGACTAGGAAAAGTACAGTCAGACTTGGTCATGCTAGTTCACGCTTTCTTGACTGTGTAGCCATGTTCTACCTTGGACATGCTTATTGCAGTCTGTGGCGCTGTGACTTTGTACAACGAAACTGTCTTCTAATCTCTGAACTCGCAAAGCATCCTGTTTCGCATTGTTGTGAGAAGCGGCGGCGTGAGGAGATACACGCCAAATACGACACATTTCAAGATTGCGAGCAATGCCTCAGAGCAACCTCGTCTGTCATGGATGCAAACCTGTTGCTCTTCAAGACAGTGATAGCCGGAGACAGCTGGGGTACAATCGCAGTACCTGTCATTGAGATCCTCGGACTGCATTTCGGCTGGTGTCTTGCGCCAAGCCATTTGTGCATGAAATCGTCTGATTGAAGGGCTTATCCTCCGACCGCCATCATTTTTGTCGGCTCCCTCCTGACGTTGGTCTTCGGGGTGCTTAATTTGATTGTAGCGGTGGCGACTCAGCGAGGAGGAATATTGAGTATAGAGAATTACATAGCTTGTTTTTTCCCGAAAGCACACGCGAAGGGTTCACCGTAAAGAACGGCTGCCAAATTCAAGTGCCCAACTATCATCATTGTCGTCGCCGTCATCATTATCAGCAGCGTCGTCATTATCGTTTATCGGTGTCGCCTTCTTTTTCTTCTTCTTCATCATCATCATCATCATCATCATCTCATCATATGAAGTTGATGCAGGTGATTGATACGACTGTCAAGCGTAATCACCATCAACACAAAATAACAAAGATTCCCGCAAAAGCGTTGGAACATCTATATATAGAGAGAGACTGAGGTTTCATTGGAGGACAATGAGCTGCAGGGAAGAGGTTGCTAGCAAAATGCGCGTGCGACCAGGATGACCTCAATGAATTTGCAAGAATCAGGACTGGATGCGATAACTTTCCCTCAGCATTCAGGCCCTTCTGGAGTTGTTTCGCCTCAAATTGCAAATCGTCCAGTGCTGGAGTTGGATTGCGCAAAGCTTCCAAGGGAGCTGACACTTGATTCAGGTTTTGATATGGATCATGAAGTTCGTAGGGCCATGCAACATCCAGACCTGGTGGATTTCAAGAAATGGATTCACTTCAAGTGTGGCCTTCCTTCTGACGAGTACAATTTCGGAAGTCCAGACAGGGATCCGCTGGAACAAGTCAGAGATTTTGTAAATTGGCTGGTGGAAACTGGCAGGGGCCAATATGAGGCAAATGGCAAATGCAGAGCCTACTGAACTCCCTCCACTACCACCACCGCGCGAGGCGCCGCCAGCACCACACACCCTGCACAATTTTTGAATTTAGAGGACGCGCAAGCAAGGAAGCAACCATTGCGCGCAAGCATCCAGGCACCTAACTTGGCAAACGTTGAAGCAACAGCGCAGCCAACAAGAGACGACAGCTTGCCAGCAAGAGCAGCCCCTGCGGGATCTATGCAGTTAGATGAGACAACAAACCAGCCAAAGCAAGCAAGCGAGCCAGAAGCACCTATCAGTGAAACCGTTTGGTACACAGATGTGGGGGTACATAGTTGTTCTTTTTAACTTTTACACAAACCCAATTGTCTCAGAGCTATATGCTTTTAACAAAATGCGCTTAAACAGTTATTTCAGCTGAACGGGGTGTAACGGTAAGTTCACGTTGGTGTGGTATAGTTTCAATATTATGATTGTTTTGCTTGTCCACTTGTAAATGTGTAACAGTAAGTTCATGTTGGTGTGGTATAGTTATTTTAAACGTATGCTAGTTTTGCTTGTTTCTTTCTAAATTGTTTAGTCAATGTTTTGTGTTTTGTGTTTAGTTTTTTGAAATTAAATATGATTTGTTTGACCTTGGGCTTTGACTGTGTGGACTGCAGAAGTTTGGATTGACAGAGAGAGAGAGAGGAAGAGAGAGAGAGAGAGAGGAAGAGACGATATACATGATGGGTGGCGTTGTTCGTGCGGGGACTCTTGGTTGGTCGGCCCCCCCGGGTGATATCTTAGAAAGCCAACCAATTGATGGGGGCGGGGGGGTCATTGCTTAGCTATCTCTGGCAATGCGGGGGTGGGTCGTGAATGATTTTTGAATAAGGGATTTTGTAAAGAAAGTGCGCGCATAGTTGTTGGTAAATTTTGGAAGCCTCAGAGATTAAAGATATTATGAAGAGTAAAAAACATTGATGATAACTAAGCGCAGCAAACCTACAGGAAAAGAACATACAAATAAATGAGGATCAGTTTCAGGAAACCTGCAGTCCAAGAAACTCCAGAAACTTGTTTGCTGGACTACCACCTTTGCTGGAATGATGTTTGTTGTTTGTCAAACCGCTTGAATAAGGGATTTTGTAAAGAAGGTGCACATACTTTTTGTGAATTTTGGAATCCTTAGAGATTGAAGAAATTGTGGAAATCTGCACCCAAAGATCTTCAAAATCAAAAAACCTCAATGGAAATCTCCAAGTCTCAATGGAAATCTGCATCCAAAGACCTTCAAAATCAAAAAATCTCAATGGAAACCTCCAAACCTCAATGGAAATCTGCGTCCAACTTCAAAATCCAAAAAAGTCCCAATGGCAACGTCCAAATCTCAATGGACATCTGCGTCCAACGACCTCCAAAGCCAATAAGAATCAATTGACATCTCCAAATCTCAATGGAAATTTGCATCCAAAGATCTTCAAAATCTTTAGAGACCAGAGATGAGAAATAGCAATATACAACAATAAAAAGATTACACAAAAACTATCCCTCCCCCCAAAAGAGACATTATTCTGGTGGCCTTTAGTAATCAGAGGTCTACATAACAAAGGTCAATGAAGAAAAGGTAAAAGGTAAAGCTCTTATATAAGGGCACATTCTTTTAAAAGGTTTTTTGTTTAGGAAAATCTCAAAAAGTTCAATAGTAGTTTTCAAACAACACAAAAAATCTTATATCCTTTAAACACAAGTAAAAGGGATTATACTAGGCTGAAATGACAAAGGACTTGTGAAAACTACCTCCAAATTACGGCGGCTAAGTCATGAAGGTTTAGCCTACCCCCCACAAGTATTTATGTCATGAAGCAAAAGCTTGGAAAAACATCAAGATCAGAGATGCCAGAGGTTGTCACCAAAGATCCTAAAAACAGTTGATTTTATATTGACAAGCATCATGACATACGACTTTGGTATCTAAACAATGAATAAACCATCGAGAGATAGGAATTTGAGAGCAAAAACGCACAAAGGCAGACTTAAAGCAAAAGATGTTCCTATGACATGTGGACTTTCATTAGCTCTAGTCTTCCAAGGGCATGCCCCCCACCACCCCCCCCAAAAAAAAGAACTCAGGACCAGGTCAACAAGGCCTATGTCATGAGTGCGTGCCAATGAAATTGCCCTGTATAACATTTGTACATGACTTAGGACTTGCCCTGGGAAAGTTGTATGTCATTTCGACCCAATTGGCCTAAGTCATCTCACCCTAGTATAATCATTTAGCAGGTGAGAAACACCAACAAATCTTAAAACATCTCAAAAGACCTCAAAAAATCTCAAAGAGTTTCAATAAATCTCAAAACATATCAAAATCATATATAAAAGTGAAAACAGTGAACACCGTGAAAGCAAAACCATAAACACCAACAACAAAACAACCTGAGGCCTGGAGCTTTGTGTGTCAGGGTCTCAGGGGTTTCTTCGAGAAAATTCTGGAACTTAGATAGATTTTCTGGAACTTGAGTTTCGTTTTTTGGGCGCCTGCGGCTGCGGCCCGCCAATTCTCAAGCTTCTAGATTATGAAAAATTGCGCGCCTGCGGCGGGCCAATCCTTAGCCTCTTATATTTTGTTGGCGCCTGCGGCGCAAACAGTTTGAACCTCACAACTGCCCACGCATGGGAATTGTTCAAGGGAGACAGGCAATCAGCAGTCACAGGAAGTACCTGGACAACTCTTTATCGGAAGTAACTTCACAAATATTGGAGGCAGTCGCGGGCATAACTGTTTCCTGCACATGTTTTTTGCAAACTTGACGTTTTTTGGTGATACAAAATCGCAAGCAGCAACCTGAAACCTCACTGCTGGAGAAAAATTAGGTTACAATTGGCCAGCAACGGGCTCAAGAAACTGGAAACTTCCATGACTGTAAAAGCAAAAACTAGTACGGAGTACAGAGCCATTGGGTCGCAGTCCCTGTCAACAAAAACTTAAAAGCTTTTTTTTTTCGGAACAGTGGGACCAAACAGTTTGAACCTCACAATTGCCTACATCAGATTTTTTAAGGGAAGGCAGGCAGTCACAGGAACTACCTGGGCAACTTTTACTGGAATAAATTTCGCAAATATGGAAGGCAGCCGTGGGCAGAATTTTTTGCTGCGACATGCCTTTGAACTTGTCAGAGGACAGTCCCAGGAGCAACCTGCAACCTCACTTCAAGAAACTCGACACTACAAATTTCGATTTTCTATTCAAAAATGTATTTATGTTTTTTCAAGAAGGGACATTGTTTGGACTACCTTTTTGGCGCCTGCAGCTGAGTCACTTGCGCAAAACGAGTGGTGGACTTTGCAGCATTTTGTCAGCGCCTCTGCGATCTCATGTCTTCGCCAATTATTTGCAGAAAAGTCACCTATACACAAAATGAGTAGCTGACTTGGAAGCCAAAAAACACATGTGAGATCACAACATTTCGAAAGAACTGCTGCGATCTTGCCCTCTCACTTTGAGTAGTGGACTTTGCAGCATTTACTCTTAAAAATACAAGCTTAAAACATACAGTATTTGCAGTTTCCAGTTTCTTAAGCCTATTTCTGGCCAATTGCATCCCAATTTTCTCCAGCAGTGAGGTTTCAGGTTGCTCCTTGAAACTGTGTATCACCAAAGAATGTCAAGTTTGCCAGTAAAAAAAGTGTCCAGGTAGTTCCTGTGCCTGTCTGCCTCCCCTAAAAAATTCCCAGGTAGGGAATTGTGAGGTTAAAACTGTTTGGTCTCACTGTTCCGAAAAAAACATGCTTTTAAGTTTTTGTTGACAGGGACTGCGACCCAATGGCTCTGTACTCTGTACTAGTTTTTGCTTTTACAGTCATGGAAGTTTCCAGTTTCTTGAGCCCGTTGCTGGCCAATTGTAACTGCAGGGAAGAAAGCCGCACTCAAATTTCACAGAAACCAACTCAAGCGGTACCCAGCCATTTTTTACTCAAGGCACAGCTGAAAAAAGGTTGCTGTGTCACCAGCAGGTTCTGAGCCCAAGGTAGGCGTAAGACGGGGATTGAGGAGGTCGATCTCCCCGCAGCCCCGCATCCTTGCTGCCATGAATGCCCAGCAGCGGCGCCGGCAGCAAAGGCGCGCTCCCGAAGGAGAAGGAGATCCCAAGGCAGCGCCGGCAGCGGATCTTCAAGAAGAGGAACCTCAAGGGCCGCTTGGTGAGCCAGGGGAACTGAGCTGCAGGGTTTGGAGGATATGAGAAGCCAAGCTCCACATCTCTATGGGGAAAATAAGAGTGGTGAGTGAGTCCAAGGACCTGTTGCTGACAGGGAAGACTCCTCCCTTGGTGACGAGGCCGACGTTCCTGGAAAGGGAGGAGGCCAAGACACAACGTTCCTCTCACCCCTGGTCTGGGCGGTTGACATTCGACGAGACAAGGGGCCCCTTGGCCAGGACATGCTCCAGGCCCCACTTTGGAACCACCTGTGCTCCCTGGCCGCTGCGGGGCTACTTCTCTTTGTTGGGGGAGGCCCCAACTGCCGTGGTGGCTGGAGAGCGAAAAAATGAAACAATCGCACCTGGATGAGACTACGTACATTTCGTTTGGCACCCCATATGAATTGCGACGGAACAATTGGAAACAAGTTGAAACCGTAGCTCTTCCATAGCGTGCGCCCATTTGCAGTGTGCAGTACGACTACTGGAACACCGACCTGGTGAATCCCTTGGACAAGAGCCTGAAGAGCACGGTCACTTAAGGACACCACCAATCCTGGAGGAGCAAGTGGAGAAAGAGCAACTGGCCTTAATGAATGGTGGCGAAGGAGAAGAGAGGCAAGACGAGTACCTGGATGAAGGTGAGCTTCAAGTTGCACTTCGGCAGGGCGCCCAACTGGTACCAAATGCTAGTGAAGCATTGGTTCCTCGGATCTTCATGTCACCTCAACCTGGACCAGTTCACGTACCCGACCCGGGACAGTCATGCAACAGCAGATGTTGACACTGTTCGAGGTGTTGAGGCAAGAGAATCGAGACTTGCGAGATGAACTTCGAGATCAGCGCCTTGGCTTTGAAATGCAGGTGAAGGCACTTCAGAAAGAGAGCGAAAATCAGGCCTTTAGGACACCGGACAGTCATCCTGGGGGAGAGTCACGATCGGGAGAAGAACGCCTACCTGCAAGCCTGCAACAACCACTGTTGAACAAGAGCGGAAAAGGCTCTATGAGTTGACGCCTATGCAGCAGTTTGAACAGATGCAGTCCATGATGGTTCAAGCTACACCAATGATGGGAAGAGGCAACAGGGGAAGAACTGCGAGAGAGCGGTCTAGGTCTGGCGGTCCTCAGCCTGGTGATGGGAGAAGGTCGACGACGACTACCAGATTGGGTCCTACGGCACCAACATCACATCCAACTTCGACCCATTCAACGGGCCACCTATAAGATTGAGCCATCTGCAGAGCTGCGAAAGACACGATGGGCACCGGTTGAGAAGAGGGCCATCAGCATGCTACTCGCCTCGACCCCAACGAATGTGAAGGAGGAATTGGTGGCGACTCGAACTTTGTCACCTTTGGGACTGGTGAGCAAACGCAGAAGCAGGGTTACTAGGGGAGGCCTGCGCGGGCTTGCGGCGGGCTCAGGCGAGCCACGGACATTGGCTTGAACTTGCCCGGCGCAACGATCCGCACGAAGGGCATCAACAAACTCAGCAGGAAGACCCTCTCCCAGCGGCCGGATCTGCAGTTCAGGTGTTCGCTAGTGAAGAACACGTTGCAGCTTGATACCATCCCGACAGAGGAGACGGTTCGAACGTATTCAGAGCATCTCCTCGCCGAACTTGAGCAACTCATGCGTCGGGTGAGACCGGCGTCAAGCACTACCACAACAGGGCAGCCTGGAGGCGGTGGAGGAGCTCCTGCAGTGAAATCTCTCCAGAATGAAGAGAAGGAGAAAAAGGGTGATGGGCCTACAGCCAACAAGGGTCCGTGCAAATACTTCCTGACGGAGTCGGGCAGTCGTCGTGGCCAGGCGTGCAAATGGGCGCATCAGCTGGACAAGAGTGACAAGTCGGGTGGCGAGAGGCGCTGTTTTACTTGCGGAGCAACGCAGCACATGGCAAAAGATTGCCCAAGAAAGGAGACCCCGCCAAATGAGCTGGGCATCGTGTTCCTCAGCCCGAAAATGCCTATGGCGAACTTGACATTGAAGGACATCTCGCGAAAGTCTTTTGCAGATGTGGAGGGAGAAGGCCCGGAGCGTCAGCCTCCTCGATCCTGCGCCTGCAAGGAAACCGCTTGGCCATAAACTGCTTTCCCGTCGCGCACCGACGAGGCACCCTGGCACCTTAGGGACAGCCACTCAAGACCTGAAGCGTGAAGATTGGAAGCAGAAAGAAAACTGGCAGCACGGAGAGGACACAATTGCGGGCGTCGGGGGGACGGCCTGCCGCCACCGCCGCACGCTTTGGAAGTTCAGAAGAAATCTTGGCAGCATTCCCACCGCAGCTTCGTTCCCCTCTTCTTAGCTTTACGCTGTCCATATGGGGCCCCTTTGGGATCACCGGATTGCTGTCAAAGCTGTTTCCAAACATTTACGGTCTTCTAATGGGGGCGGCCTGGCGACATGCCTCTCCTTTCTCAAGACCCCTTGCCGGGCCTCTCCTTACCATAGAATTCCCTCCTTTCTGGGCTTCCCCTGCGGGAGCGGCCCTCCGGTGTCCCTTGTCGGGGAGTAATAATGTTTCTGAGCACGTTGGACGGCCTGATCGCGCAAGAGAGCTTCCTCTTTCTGAGCCATGGCTGGAGAGAAAGCCCCGCCCGTCTTTTTGGCGCAGCTCTATTAAATCAATCGCCATTTCCTCTTGCCAATCACGCAAAACAGCCCTTAAGGCAACCGCCTCGACCGCTCTTTGTTTGTTTTTTCTGCCTCGGCCTGTGCACTCCCGGCGCCCGTCTGACGGCGAGGCAAACGAGACTTCTCAGGGGGACAAGGGATCCGCTTTGTGATTCTCCAAAGCTCGTCCATCATGAGGGGGCTTCTCATTGAGAAAGAGGATTGGGAATATAATTCTATTTGGGGGCCACTTCGCCAATGAGCGCGTTGTCATCGGCCAGTTGGGTCTTGAAACCTTTGGGACCCATCGCGACGCACTGGTCCTTTGGTGGCTTATTTGCACCAGGGTTGTGTACCAGGAAGTAAGCTCCGGCAAGTGATAGTAGCATTGTAGCCACAGGCACCATCTCCTGCGGTGTCCATGTTGGCATCATCATCAGCCGTTTGGGCGTCTTGCTGCATCTCTGGGAGGGGAAGTTTGCGGCAGGTCCTCTACAGTGCTGGGCGTGGGCTGGTTAGTCCACCAGATGCCAATTTTCTGGGACTTGGTATCAAGAACGCGCGGGATTCGTGGAGGAGACCTGGATTGGTGTCAGGTGGAGGAGGTTGGTCACCATCGGCATAGGGCAGGTACTTGTACCACACCGCGGGTCGCAATTTTTTCATATTCAAATTTGGGGGCAATATACGGACTCTTCTTGCGGTCTTTGCTAGGAGCCTGCGCTACGTATGTACTTTGCATTTGCGACCCTTTCCTGTGTGGACTTTCTTGTAGTGATAGTACACATACATCTTCCGGCAGGCCGGTTCAGTAGCTTCCACTCTGTTTGGATCTCATTCATCTTGCAGGCGTCACCTGTTCAGCCGCGACAGAGATGGTCTCAACGGAGACGCAGCCAGGCACAGGGGATAACTTCAAAGACTACATGTCTCACATGGACGCGCCTGTTGTTTCTCTTGATACTTTTTCGTGCAATCGAAAAGACTCATTCGAGCCACGGCACTTATAAGACCACCTAGGAAAAGACTCGGCCGCGCAGTTGCGGCGCGACACCCTGACAATAACAATGCAGACAGACGAGCGCCGCGCGGGTAACTTCACTGAATTGCCTCCTCGGGTGTCACTAGCGGCCACGCACTTCTTGAATAACCTCGCGAGGCATCACGGAAGTGTGCTTGGTTTTCGCGTGACGCAGCATTGAGCCCTGTGAGGCAACTGAATGCAGACCGCAGCACTACCGCGGCAATGAAGTCGCGATCGCGATTCTGCAGTCGAGGACCTGGCGCCCTGTCGCGTGGCGCCTCTTCTCAGCAGCGCTGCTGATGTGCAATGTTCCACGCGTGCCATTTTCTGCTTGTGCGCGAACAGAAGTTGGAAGCGTACTGTGAGGCTTGTCTCATTACAAGACCAAAGCCGAGGAAAAAGCGGCGCTACACACGCGAGTTTCACAGACTGTGTTCTGAAGATCATCATCGCCGTCCTCGTCGCCCTCATCCTCATCATTACATTCTGTCCTCGCCTGCTTCGGGGCCATCCTGTCATCTAGTTTCTCAGGCGTCGAATAGAAAAGAAAAAGGGATTTGAATTCAGGCTTTACATTGCGCTTTTCACGGCAGGTTGTTGATACTTTCGCAGACGCCCGCGATAGAGACATCCTCAATTTGGCAGAGGAAATGGAGCAGGACATGCAAGCGGACAAGAGGTTGCAAGTTGCAAGTATAAGTAGGGTAGCGCACGTGAAAAAAGGGAACCCTTCTGTTTCATTTTTTGCTTCAAACAATGTTGGTGCTGACATGGGAGTTGAGGTTTCTAGAGTCAGTCTTTGACCGCATTGATGTTGATCACACGGGGCAGCTCACTTTGGAGCAATTGGTTGAGGCCTTGTGCGCAAGCAGGGCACTTCATCTCTTTGATTTATCTGTGTGTTACAGGCAGAAAGCCGAACTTAATGAATTAAATTACAACAAGATCACATCTTAAAAAGTTCATCTATGAAATGGGGGGGGCGTACTGTTGCAGAGAAGTTGAAGAAAACACTCGTCCATTGTTATAGGGGGGAATTATATTGATGCTGAGTGGGAGAGATTGCCTAGAGTTGAACTAATTTTTGGCCTAAGCATCGCCATCGAAAACAAACTGGCTCTTGTGTCTGATGTAGTGTGACCTCACGATCAAGGCGATTCAATAAATGACATCGTAATCTCCAGTTTGTCTCCATAAAAATGGTTCCGCGACTTGCTGTGAGATGTTAGCTTCTCCGCAGTACACACTTTCTCCGGCCTTTGTCTTGGCTTGCTAGAGAGGTTTGGACATGCATTTTGTAGAGCAGCTCGTTGAGGGCCAATTCTTCTCAGAACAGCTTTCCTGTCCATTTTGTAGGCTTTTTGTCCTGACCTCACCATTTCTATAGTCTCAAACCCAATGACCGCTGATTTATACTAGTAGAGCGCCCAGGCCCACACCAACTTCCAAAGGGGATCAAAAAAGAATGCGGGGGGCAGTTTTGCCCGCCCCCATGGGCCAGCGTAGTCCGTACCGCGCGCGACCTCTCCAATGTTTGACTCGCCAAGCATTTAGCAAAGCAAAAGCACGTCCCTTTACCGCTTCGACTGGGCGACTGCGGGAAACAACGCCCCCTTCTCCTACCGCTTGGAGAGTCACTAGCCTGTCTCAGTCTGGTGGTGCAACGCGGACCTCATCCCCACATTGAGGGGGCCGGGCTGACATCTCCTCATCGCCCCTCCTCGTTTCGATGGATTGGCTCTGAAAGCAATCCGGGTGCAGTGACACTTTTACTTTGTCCAAGCCACCACCCTGCACTCCGCGCGTCCTTGACACCCGGGTTTTTGGTAGACCAACCCTGCGCCCCCAGCAATCCAGATCTTGAGGGCCTCGAGGGAACCAACGTTCGGACACCTCCGACCATACTGGGAAGCACCAAATCTTTCGCGACAAAAATATCAGCAAAACCAACAAAACAGTCCGCTTCGACGTTCTCCGGGTTCGGGCTTGGTACAACTCGCTGGCGCACAACCCTCAAGAACCAAGCCTTACAATGGGTTGAATGCTCCAACAGCGGATCAAACCCTATATACAGCCAAACGTCGTGGCAGCTACGGGGTATTATAGTTTTTGCGATCCATCCGACTTGGACTCAGACCAGTGAAGGGGGTCCGACAAACGACGGATCTACCAACAAACTCTGAGAGTGCTGCCACTTGCCTTGCATGCCACATCGCTGTCATCCTAACAACTGGGCACTCTCTGAGCGCAAAACGGTAGCGTCGGCCGACAGCGCCCCGTGGTTTCTGGATAGCGATTCAACAAGCAACCTGAACTTGCTTCCTGATCCAATTGGCCCGAGATTTCCACATCTCTGTGTTTCCCATCGCTCGAATGGCAAAGCGGGCCCATCGCGTTCGCAATACAACATCCGGCGCCAGCGTGCGCAGGGCAGCCAACATGGTTTTCCTAGTTCGGCCAAGCACGCTCGGATCGATGCCCGAGAAAAACGAAACAGCAGAGGTCTCGGTGGACACCGCTGCCGGCCCCGCCAGCACGTACTTCACCGGTTGGCCAGCGACCGCCGCCAGTAGTGTCTGGCCATGGACATGCCCACATTGCAATACATTGTTCTCACTGGCGCCAGCAAGAACATTTCTTCCAAGCGCGCCTCTGAGACGCTCTTCCGACACTGGGGTCCCAATGTCGGAGTGGCTGGCCTCGTCTGAACTTAGTGATCTTCTTGCTGTGGCTGGGCAGACTGGCAACGGCGGCAAACTGCTTGCCGACGCCTATGCAGGCCAACGTCCAGACCGCCTTCCAACGCTGGCAGCACAGCGCAGCAGCAGTGCAATGGTGTCCGCTCGACCTCGGCGAACTTGGCTTTCCGGAAGCGCATCATCTACTGGCTCGAGCGTCCCGGCTTGTTCAGCCTCTCGCAATCCAATAATCCATTGCAACGACAAACTTTTTGGTCGCAAATTGCAAGTTGGATCTCCACAAAGCGACGCTTACAAGCTCAAACAGCAGGCAGGCAAAGCGATCGCAAGCTTCAAGAAGTGGCGACGCAGCATGCAAATGCGTGCAATACATGAAAAGAGTAGATCAAATGGATCCAACGCGCAAGCCGCCAACCAACCTAGCCCGGTCATCTAGCATGAACACCGCGCCTTGAAAACCTGTCAGAAATGATGCCAGGCAGCAAGCTCACAGCGCGCCGGGAGAACAGAACAGGTTCAAACTGTGCTTCAGTGTTTGCCCACCCTTCCCACAATCCAAGATCAACCTACAGCCCACGAAATTGCACTGCGGGAAGCAGCTGGTCCCAACAGCTGGCGGAAGCGCTACAGTGGTAGAGTGGCTTCCCCCTCAATGTCAAGTAGATGATTGGTTGGGCAGGTGCTGGGTTTCTTCTTAGAAGCCTGACTAGAAACCGGCAGGTGAGCCTGGCAAAGCCTCGCAACGTGGTCAACGGGGGAAATTATCATTTAGTGATCTTAATCTTCGACGAATCCTTGTGCAAGGCTAGTTCTATCGCTGGAGCGGAACTTGGGCTAAAACCAACTTCGTACAGACGCACTCCCTCAGTGCATTTTCGGCGGACCTCGCAGCCTGCGGTGCCATGGAAAATTAGCCTGCCTGCAGAACACAATGTCCATTGTAGACCCCCGATCGCCATCCGACAAGGGGTGAAGGGGGTCCTCTCTCTCTCTCTCTTTTTCTCTCCGTTGTCGCTCAACTTGCTGATGTGGGCGCGGCTCTTCACACCAAAGAGCAGCAGCGCCTCAACGGATCAAATTCTCGCCTACCAGTTGCTAGATCAAACTTCGAGCAGCCCGAGCCTTGGCCGTGGGCAAGGCAGCCTATGTTGGGTCGCTGCCACACCACCCAAATGACAACCTTCAACAAGGCAGTTCGCAACGCCGGCGCAGCTTTCCACCAGATGCTCATGGGTGGCGTACGATCACTCACTGTCGTGATCGGTATATACGGCAGCTAGTTATTGCTTTGGGCTAAGCGATATGCAACAGAAGCTCGGACTCCACCCAGAATGCCACAAGCCTGTTGGCTCGGCACGGCAGTTTGCCAATCTGGACTTCAAGCGCAAGGTCGCTCACTGGGCCCAGGACACGTTGGAGACAACAATGGCAATGCTTCGCAAGGTGAGCGCGACGTGACCGCAACCAAGGCCCTTTTCACGGCTGGCTGCGCGATAGGTCCGATAGGTGTCGCAGCTGCAATTCGTTGATACGCAGGCAGCTCAGAATCTGCTCCACGTGGCGGGCAGTGGACCATTGTTACGTCAAAAACATAGTGGCGAACAGATTCATCCAAAATTCAAGAACGAATGTGACGAAGGGTCATTTGTATCGGAGACACTCCTGTCACCTTTTTCCAAAAACGCACAGCACTGCTTAAGGAAAAACCCACTGGTGAAACAGATTTTAGTTAAGATGTGTGCCTGAACAGTTCAAGAGCATCAGTGCAAGGCCGTTTGATAAGAACTGACATTGTTTGGAGTTTGGACGGCTGGTTTGGCTTGGACATGTCTTTTGTTGTGCAGGGCGCCCGCACAGATACAGAGTTCCAGAGCCGCTTGAAGGTCATGGACATCGATGAGGCAGGTAGGATGAGATAGGATGAGAGCAAAACTCTGGCCAACTGAGCCTGGTCAGACGGCGGGTGGTCGTTCACGCAGCCATTCTCCGTGTATGTGTATCTTTATCTACCTCTGTCTCTCCTGCTCACGTCTGCAGATGGACTTGGTGCAGCTTTTCGAGATGATTGACATTGACAACTCTGGGTTTATTGAATCTAATGAATTCATCCGACCGCTGAGTCGCTGGGTTCGCGACTCGAAGACCGCTCCTCGAGCCACAGCAGCACTTATGCGGCAGCCAAATGCTGTTGGTCTTTACAGATGAGTTTTGTACACAAGATCACCGTCGCAAGGTTAACATGTTGATGCATGTTTTGCAGCAATTATTGCAAATGTTCTTTCCAGGATTTATCAAGTACAATATGATGCGAACCATGCAGAAACAAGAAGAGTTCCTTGGCTTAACAAAGTGTTTCAATCGATCTGGGCTTGAGTTGCTTCGATGCCGGTTTGAAACAACAAATCTATTCCTGTTCTTTTAGGTGTTCGGATGTTAGGAAGGCAGGAGGCTAACTCCATAATATTTCCAGAGGTTTCGGAAGCACATTCTCCAAGGCTTCAACAAGAGCAAATTGCACTTCGGCAAGCTGTGGAGGTTCACTTTGCAGAGCTTTGGCAGAGGCTTGACGCTCGGATCCTTCTTTGCTCCTTCCCAGTGTCACTGTGGGCATTCCTTCTTCCAGCCACATCCCATTCTTAGATAAATGTGGAATGGGGTTGGATTTTCGACGGCTTCCAACATGAAATTTGTAAGATGTTTCAAACTTTTGCCGACGGTTGTGTTCATGTTGGCTGGACCCACTTCTTGCTTCTTCAGTATTGGTATAGATCAAAAGCAATGTACCTGTGTTTGTCGAACTTTGCCTGATGCAACAGCAGTCTTTACCTAGGGTCAACGGTAAGTTGGATTTGACTCAAAAACACTTGCAAGAATCAAGCGAAGGAAAAAAACAATGCAACATTTTCCTGTTCTTCACTACACAGCTTTGAGCCGAGGAAGCAGTACAATCCAGTTTCCCACTGCCGAGACAAGACTGCAACAGCTCAATGAATTCGGGGCCGAATTTCAACCAGCCCATGAAGTTGTGGGGGCCACTCGAAGCGGTAGCATTCTCTATTCCTTGTGAATATATATATATATATACTTATGCACACACACTTCGAACTTGGGTTTTCAGTTAGACTCAATTGCCACGTTGGG